CCTCCTTGGACTTGAAGACAGTGTACACGATCTTCTTAGGCCGCCACGTCTGGGGGTCGTTGAGCGATGGCTCCACGATGAAGTGCCGCATCTCGACGTCGAAGTCGACCCACTCCTGCACGAAACAGAGGTCCACGTTGCTGCCCGGCTGCTCCACCAGCTGTGCGAGCGCGTCCGACAGCACCTGCGAGTTGGTCCAGGCCCGCACGTCCATCGCCTCCCAGCTCCAGCCGAGCTTCGCCACGCCCTTCTGCACTGGGGCGGCGGGCTGCCCCGTCATCGCAGCCCGCCCCTCGTTGAGGTTCGCCAGGGCCCTGATGGCGTTCGCGGCGGCCTTGCCAGGGTTGCAGATGATGGCCGACCGCGGCACCGCGGTGGTGAGCGGCACGTGCAGGGGGAGATGCAGGCACATCTGCGTGGTCCACTCCTTCGACGCAAAGATCCTGTACAGGTGGGCGTTGTGCGGGAAGCGCGTCGGTATCCCTGCCGCCTCCATCTGGACCATGAGCTCGAGTTGTCTCACGCGGTCCACGTAGGCCGGATAATTGTGGCCGTCCTGATAGGCGATGGGCCACATGAAGTACAGCCCGTTCAGGTGCTGACCAGAGGCAAGCTGCCGCAGCAGAGGCGCACTGATCTTGGCGAGATCCTCGGAGCCCTGGTAGAATGCCGATATGATCTCGTAGGTTGGCCCCAGCGCCTGGTACACCGTGTCCTCCCAAGTATTGATGTAGTTGTCGGAAGGCGTCGAGCCAACTTGGCCCCAGCCTCCAGCTCCCTCGGTGACCGGGTTCACAGGCTGCTCCCCGCCCCAGCGAATGTGGAAGAGCGTCAGCTGCGGCTGCTGCTGTGCCTCCGAGGGCTGGTAACGCTGGCGGATCTGGTCGGGCATCACGCGCTGCGTCACCATGCTGATGTTGTTGACGTCAAGACGGTGCCCCCGCCGATTGTACCACTTTGGGTGGGTCCACTGGATCTCCACCCAGGTGTTGTACTGGCCTGGGTTGAACCTGCTGATGTCCCAGGCCTCGGAGACGCGGGCCTCGGTCCAGCCGTCCGTCCTGCCCACGCTCGGGTGGAAGACGCCACCCGAGCTGTGGGAGACCATGAAATAACCGTTCGGGTCCTGCATATAGCGGTGGAAGACGTCTACCAGCTCGCCCGCCTGCAGCGACGACACGGTGACCGGCGGCCCGTGCGGCTTCCCGCCGGGCTGGTGCGCGCCGCACCCCTTGCTGCCGCCCTTGCCTCTGCCGCGGCCGCCGCCCCAGTTTGGTGGCGGCACATGCTGGGCAAGACGAAGCCAGGACGAGGGTACAATCGAGTGACGACACGTCTCGAATCTCTGAGATCCGGCGGCTCTGGAGGATGTCTCGGGCGCCGCGGCCTTCTCAGAGCGTTCGGGAACGCTCTGAGAGCGTTCCGGAAAGCTCCGGATTGTTTCTCGTCCCCAGACCCCCAACGTCAAAACCCCCAGAGATCTCGACCCACTCCCCAGGTCTGGTTCTTCCTCCCGAGTCGTCTGCTGACTGTCCCGAAGCCCTGTGAGGGCCCCCAGGGGCCGAACTAGCGAGAAACCTCCCCAGACCCCCGACGACATGATTTTTCATTCCCCGTGACAGGAGTTTCATCCTGAGTCGTTTTTTGGAAGTCCTGGGGCCCGGCAAGGGCCCCCAGGGGCGGAAAATAGCGACAAACCTCCCGGACAGGATTTCTTCCCAACGCAAGGAGACGGGGTCCCGTTGTGCTGTCCCAGATCCGATGTTGTGATTTTTTCACCGCGGGGTTCCTGAAATCTCCACCCAGTCCCCGGGACCGGTTTCTCATCCTGAGGCGCTGCTTCGCGGTCCTGGGGCCCGGCGAGGGCCCCTCCAGGCCGAAACATGGGAAAAACCTCCGCCTTGACTCTTTCAGCGCGTTGGCTCTCTGGGGCTCCCCTCGCCCTGGCCCCGTCCGTCTGGGGCTGCTGGTGCTGCTGGCCCGGGTGCTGCTGGTTCTGCCACTGGGCCGGCGGATGGGCGCCGGGCCGCCCCGCCATGGCGCCGCGAGGCTTACGTCGGGCGTGTCCCCCTACCAGGGGGGCCTCCGAGGAAAAACGCAAAGTAGTCGAATTACATACGCCCCAAAACCTCACAAAACAGGATCGAAAAACAGTCCCCAGACTAACCTTTGGACTCTGTTTGAATACATTCCCCCTGCAGAGGGGCAGGCCCGACGTCGCGCGAGGGGGCCGCGCGCGGGCCCCCGCGCCCCGCGGAGCCCCGGCGCTGCACGTGCCCTGCCCCAGAGATCCAGCGCCTCGACCAAAGTCACGGCGGAGGTGCGCCGCGAAAGTTCGGCCCCCCGAGGGGGTCGAGGGCCCTGGAGGTCGAGGCCACGAGAAAACCATGACGTCGGGGCGGTCTGGGTTCGCGGTGAGCCCAGGGACTCCCTGTCTTGAAAAAGTAGGAGTCAGGACGTGGGTTTTTCATACCTTTCGGCCTCGAGGGGCCCCCCGCCGGGCCCCGGGGCCGTCCAAAAACGCCTCGGGAGGAAACGCCGGCCCGGGGGAGCAAAGGGCGGGACTTCCGGGGGCCCCGCGCTGGACAGCAGTCACGACGTCGGCTCTCTGGGCCCCCGTTCCAAAATGGCTCGAGCCAGAGGGGCGGCGCGAGAAGTCGGAGGGAGAGAGCCGACGCTCCCAACACAAATCGGAGAGGCGAGTCTTCGTGGCCATGCTCGGCCTCTCCAGGGGCTCTCGCTCGCCGGGCCTCGGGGCCGGCAGGCATCGACGCAGGACCAAAGACTGGTGGTGGGGAAGCTTGGCGCTGATTCAAACGAGTGCGCTCCCAGTGCGCTTCGTCACTGCGCGTGCTGAATAGAGGTTCGAGGTTTGCTTCCCCTCCCCTACCCCCCTCGGGCTGGCTTCTCCTCCCTGCCTCGTTCTCTGCTCGATTCGTCATTCTACTTCGTAGTCGTGGTCCAGACCTCGGCCTCGAAAACATTGGAGGCGGCCGGCTGGCCGTGTCTCGCTTTCCCCGGCCATGGGGCCTTCTGGGGGGCCCTCGCCGGACCACCACTGGATTCGCCTCGAAATGCTGGTCGGAGCGCGCCCCGGGAGAAGTCCGGGGAGCAGCGGTCTCGGCACCGCTGGGCCTCCCCCCAAAAAACACATACGCTTCTTGTCGGCAAGGTGCAGCGCCTGGTGGCGATTTCGGGGGCCTGGGGACTGGGGGCCGTCAGAGAACGACCGGCATACCCCGAGATCCTGGCGTTACAATTCTTTCACAAAGAGCGTTTTCGCTCAGCTTCCGGCCCCGGGACCCTCACGGATCGATCCTGCTCAAAAAATGAAGCCAAAAGAAGGAGTCCGGTGCTCTGGACGTGAATTTTTGCGGTGTTGCATGTTTTGCAACGTCGAATCCCAGGGTAGGATGAAAGGAGGCCCCGAGGAAGGGGCCAGGACTCCTATAGGGACCCCAGATCGACCAGAAGTCAGGACACATCGGAGAGCTAGCTGGGCGCACGCCGCTCAGTCGTGGTGCGGCCCCCCTCCGTCGTGCTTGCGCACCCGAAGGCCCGTTTCGGAGCTCTATTCCCTGGCAAGCCGTCATTCATAAAGAGGTTGGGTCGAGAGTTCTGGAGAAACTAAGAAGAGCCTGTTTGTTTCAGACTCCGGCAGCTATACTTGCATGGACGGGGGGGGGGGCTGAACCTGAAGCAAGACGCAAACGACCCGACGTGCAGAAATTACGCGCGCAGGCCGAAAGGCACTTGCACGCTGGTATGCGTTCGAAGAGGGGCGGGAAGGGGGGAGGGGGGGGGGGGAACGCCACGCAGATCAAACCTGCCCCATTTTTTTTTGAGCCCCGAGGCAACGATACAGCTGCTGCGACGAGGGCCTCCCAGGAGGCCGACACGGGGGGCAGAAGGGCGGAGGGCGGCGCTCCCCTGCAGCTCGGGCTGCCGCGGCCGTGGCACCGCGGTGCACGCAGAGGGCACCGCGTGCCACCGAGAGGCACCACCGTGCCCGGGCCAGGGCCATATTCCGTGGGCCCCGGCCACCGTGCGACGGCGCCCCTCGTCGAAGCCTTCGGCGTCGGAGCGTCCCTGCCTCCTCCTCCTCCTCCTCCTCCTCCTCCTCCTCCTCCTCCTCCTCCTCCTCCTCCTCCTCCTCCTCCTCCTCTCGGCCGTCCCCCCTTCCCTCTTCGCTCGCCGACCACTGCGCTAGGCAGTGCCCCCCCATATCCAGCTTCTCTCGCCGGAGCGGACTTCGCCGCCTCGCCGCGGACGGACAAGAGAGTGTCTGCGCCCCTCGGCGGCGAGCGAGGGGGGGGGGGGGGAAGAAACGAGCAGGAGAAGGCCCTTCTCAGAAGGCGGAGGGCCCTCTCCGAAGCCCTCGCGCCTTCTGGGAGGGTTTCTGCGTCGTCCCAGAGATCCGATGTCGTGATTTGCTCCATGCGGGGCCCCTGGAAACTTCGACCCGTTCCCAGGGACCGGCTTCTCATCCAGAGTCGTTGCTTCGCGGTCCCGGGGCCTGGCGAGAGCCCCTCGAGGCTGAAAAATTGGAAAAACCTCCCTCTTGACTTTGTTTCAATATACCCAGACCCCCGACGTAATGATTTTTTCATTACGTCGACCCCCGGAGGTCCCGACCCTTTCCCCATGACCGGCTTTGCATCCTGAGTCGTTTTTTGACGCTCCCGAGGCCCGGTGAGGGCCCCTGGAGGCCGAAAACTAGGAAAAACCTCCCGTCATGATTTTTTCATTACTCGAGGGGGTCTGGGTACGTTGGAGCTCTGAGCCTCCGGGGAGGGCGCCGAGAACTTCTCGGCAGGCCGGGGGGGGGGGGACTTCCGAGCCTTCCGAGAGGGCCCGCCGCTGCTCTCGCTGCCCTCGCCTGCTCGCCTGCTCGCTCCCGGCCTCGCTGAGAGCCCCAGGCTTTAAGTCGGGCCTGTCCTCCCACAGGGGGATTTTGGGCGAAAAGATCATCAAAACATGCACCCACAATTGTCAAAATATGGAGAAAAAAAAAAACGACAAATAATCAAAACATGCACCCAAAATTATCCAAAAATGCTAAAGTCGTCACCAGACTGTTTTTGAATTCTTTGTTGAACACTCCTCCTATAGAGGGACAAGCCCGATGGAGCGCCCGGCCGACACCAACGAGAGCTCGGCTCAAAAGGGCTGGAGCGGGCCCACCCATCCCAGACCCCCTCGAGCAATGAAGAGATCACGACGGGGGGTTGTTCGACATTCTCGGTCTCTGGGGACCCTGGCCGGGCCGCGGGGCCTGGCAAAAGGCGGCTCGGGATGGAACAGCGGTCCCGGGGTTGATGGGTCGAGACCCCTGTGGGAGGACGCCATGGAAAAATCATGACGTCGGGAGGCTGGGAACCAAGCTAGATCACGAGAGCGCAGCGGGCGCTGGTGCACGAACCAGGCGGGTCACAGGAGACACGCACATCTGCACAGTGTCGCCGAAAACCGAACAGCATCGAAACCTAAGTTCCATCAGCCCTCTGGGCGTAGCTGGTCTAGAGCGGTTTCTCTTCCAACCCCTCCCTCTTCCTCTTCGGGGAGGGGTTTATCACTGTCCCCTATTAGTATACACCCCAACTCCCTGGCGACCGGCAGCCAACCAGGAACAATGCGGACACCACTATCACCCCCCCGAACCATCCTGGTCAACAACAACGAACACACACTCTGCATCCAACTTCGGAGCATGCGCAACCAACCTGATGCGCCCCCCACCACCCCTGTCAAAAATTATCCTGACGAAGGACCCAACCATAAGCAATTGTGCGTAACGCGTTGTAGGTGCCGCTTTCGGTGGGGCTCCCTATGGGGCCACGAAGCGCTGCCCCGGGTACGGGAACCGCATGCGAACTGCGTCACTGGGGCGAGCCTTCGGTGGAGCTCCCTATGGGACCACGAAACGCTGCCCTGGGCGGGGGAACCGCATGCGAACTGCGCCACTGGGGCCTTCGGTGGAGCTCCTTATGGGCGCACGAGACGCTGCCCTGGGTGGGGTAACCGCATGCGAGAGCAGCCACTGAGGCCTTCGGTGGAGCTCCCTATGGGGCCACGAAGCGCTGCCCTGGGTGGGGGAACCGCATGCGAACTGCGCCACTGGGGCCTTCGGTGGAGCTCCCTATGGGGCCACGAAGCGTTGCCCTGGGTGGGGGAACCGCATGCGAGAGCAGCCACTGGGGTCTTCGGTGGAGCTCCCTATGGGGCCACGAAACCCTGCCCTGGGTGGGGGAACCGCATGCGAGAGCAGCCTCTGGGGCCTTCGGTGGAGCTCCCTATGGGGCCACGAAGCGCTGCCCTGAGTGGGGGAACCGCATGCGAGAGCAGCCACTGGGGCCTTCGGTGGAGCTCCCTATGGGGCCACAAACGCTGCCCTGCGTGGGGGAACCGCATGCGAGAGCAGCCACTGGGGCCTTCGGTGGAGCTCCCTATGGGGACACGAAGCGCTGCCCTGGGTGGAGGACCGCATGCGAAAGCAGCCACTGGGGCCTTCGGTGGAGCTCCCTATGGGGCCACGAAACCCTGCCCTGGGTGGGGGAACCGCATGCGAGAGCCGCCACTGGGGCCTTCGGTGGAACTCCCTATGGGGCACGAAGCGCGCTGCCTGGGCACGGGAACCGCATGCGAGAGCAGCCACTGGGGCCTTCGGTGGAGCTCCCTATGGGGCCACGAAACGCTGCCCTGGGTGGGGGAACCGCATGCGAGAGCAGCCACAGGGGCCTTCGGTGGAGCTCCCTATGGGGTCACGAAACGCTGCCCTGGGTACGGACACCGCATGCGAGAGCAGCCACTGGGGCCTTCGGTGGAGCTCCCTATGGGGCCACGAAGCGGTGCCCTCGTTGTGGGAACCGCATGCGAACTGCGCCACTGGGGCCTTCGGTGGAGCTCTTTATGGGGCCACGAAACGCTGCCCTGGGTGGGGCAACCGCATGCGAGAGCAGCCACTGGGGCCTTCGGTGGAGCTCCCTATGGGGCCACGAAGCGCTGCCCTGGGTACGGGAACCGCATGCGAGAGCAGCCACTGGGGCCTTCGGTGGAGCTCCCTATGGAGCCACGAGGCGCTGCCCTGCGTGGGGGAACCACATGCGAGAGCAACCGCTGGGGCCTTCGGTGGAGCTCCCTGAACCGTGTGAGGGGTGTGCCGAGAGCAGAGGCAAGGAGGGGGAGGAGGGAGGAGGGAGGGGGCAGCGGGAGGAGGAGACGCGGGGCACCGTCTCTTCAAAATGAAGACCCAACACCACAGGATGGTTGGGAAATGCAATGAACATGTCGGGGCAAAGTCTGGAGTCATGTTCGTGAGGCCCGCGAGTACTTTGTATTGTTTTTGTTGAAACACCGGGGGTGTCAACTTATTGCCTGCTGTTCGCAGGGGTATCATCCTGACAACAGACAACACAAAATGCACCTCGCGGCTAAATTTGGATCATGCGCAGCCACCCCGCGATCACTATCAAGTGGCTTTTGACAGGGACGGCCAGGGTGGTGGCGTATGGCCTGCTGTACGCAGACGCGATGATGGGCATTGGTTTTCGAAAAGGATGGTGGGGGCCGACACGTTTCCCGATGTGTGCTGTCACGTGCGCCGACGCAC